TGAAGTTGGAGGATGTTGGGCTGTATTCAAGGAGCTCCAGAACTGGAGGGTTTAAACTCTTTTGAAGAGGACTTGAGGATTTCTTGGTGGCTCTTGATGGCCTTGGAATGCGGCTTGCAGCAAGACTTTTATGAAAAACACAGGACATATCACTGTTTCTTTGCAATAATTAGGATGTGATGCTTTTTGTCCCCCAAGAATTTGAAAGGATCAGGGACAGAAGTAATACAGATGCTTGTAGATAATACAGATGCAATACAGATGCTTCTTGACTTACGATGGCGTTATGTCCTGATAAACCCATCCTAAGTTAAAAATATCATTAAGTTGGAAAGGCATTTAATACACCTAAACTACCAAGCAAAGTAGCTTAGCCTAGCCTACCTTAAATGGTCTCAGAACACTTCCATTAGTCTACTTATGGGCAAAATCATCTAACTCAAAGCCTATTTTATAATAAAGTGTTGAATATCTCACATAATGTATTGAATACTGTATTGAAATGTGGCTTCTACTGAATGCATATTGCTTTTGTACCATTGTAAAGTCAAAAGATTCTAAGTTTTACGATTGTAAGTTGGGAACCATCTATACTAATCAAGAAAATGCAGATACAGAATTTAACAGGGTTGGGGAAATTACTCTTAATTTTATTTCGTTTTACTTTTATTTTGCCTTGCCATTTATTATCCTTTTTTTTCCCTTTTAAATCAGAAATGCCTCTCACTGTGATGAAATGTCCATTGAGCTCAGGGTTTTTGAGAATGCAGAAGCTTCCCTGCCGTTGATCTCATACCCACAATTTTTAACCTTGTCAACCTCTGGGATGTTAGTGTGCCCTGACCTGAGTGAATTCACCCGTAACAAAACTGACGTGAAGATTCAATGGTACAAGGTATATCTTTCAAAAATGCCATTTCATTAAAATGTATTTTACTAGCCATAGGAAAGATATAAAATACCCATTTTCTGAAGACAATACATTCACACACACACACACATACACATACACACACACACACACACACACAGTGTGCCCTTTGATTCTGTGGGTTCAGCATCTGAGGATCCAACCAACCTTGGATTCAACCAACCTCAGACCAAAAATATTGAAAAAAAAAGAAACAAAGTAACAATACAATATTAAAAATAATACAAATAAAGAAATACAGTGCAATAACTATAGTCATTGCCACGTGATGACATTTCAGTCAACAATGGAACATGTATACAACAGTGATTTCATAAGATTATAATAAAGCTTGAAAATTACTATTGTCTAGTGACATCGTAGCTGTTGGAAATGTAGCGGGGTGCATCACCTTTTCTATGTTTAGATATGTTTAGATACACAGATACTTACCATGGTGCTCTAATTGCCTACAATATTCAGTAACATGTGGTACAGGTTCGTAGCCTAGGAGTAATAGGCTATACCACATAGCCTAGGTGTGTAGCAGGCAGTACCACCTTGGATTGTGTAAGTACACTCTATGATGTTGGCACGATGATGAGATCACCTAAGGATGAATTTCTCAGAATGTATCCTTGTCGTTAAGTGACGAATGGCTGTATTTACATAGTGTTTAAATTGTGTGAGGTAGTAAGTAATCTAGCGATGATTCAAAGATTATATGGGAAGATGTGAATGTAGGTTATATGCAAATACTACATCATTTATATCAGAGACTTGAACACCTGTGAATTTTGGTACCTGTTGTGGGAACAGTCCTGGCACAAATCTCCCAAGGTTACTGAGGGATGATTATATTTTAAACAATGTTAAAGGACCATGATCAATATGTTCTGTTATTCCTTATGTGGCTTGGATAAAGGTCCTTGAAATAATGATTTGTGAAGACAGAATATAAAATGAATCCAGACTAAAAAACAGCTGAAGAAACTAGCTTTTTATTCTGTCATTTGTCTGTAAAAATTCAGAAAAAATCGTTACTTTACGTATCAATTTTATGCACATATTAAAAGAGTTTTTTTTTTTTTTTTTTTTTTTAAGCACATGACAATTAACCTTTGGGCTAAAGAAATAAATGTAAACACATCCTTGTCTGGTTGAATAAATACTATTGGATGTTTTAGTTGCTCATAGTGAGAACATCAAATATTAAGCTTAAGTAGACCAAGTGTTGGCAAACTATGGCCTGGGCCAGACCAAGTTGCCTCCTGTCTTTGTATAGCTCACAAGCTAAGTATAGTTTTTACTTTTTTAAATATTTGAAAAAAATTAAAAAAATATTTCAGGATGTGAAATTCATGCAAAATTCAAATTTCAGAGTCATTAAATACAGTTTTACTGGAACACAGCCATGCTCATTTGTTTATGTGCTGTCTGGCTACTTTTGCACTGTGTAGTTGTGACAGAGACCACGCAGACTATAAGGCCTAAAGCATTTCCTATCTGGCCCTTTCCTGAAAAAGTTTGCCAACTGCTGATACAGACTATAGATTGATACTGAAAAGTACAGTTATTGGTTTAATCATTGATAGGAATTAACTCCTTAATCAATAACAGGTTGACCAGTTGACTGGTATTGTAACTACAAGATATATATGATATCAATTTAATACTGGAAACTTTAAAATGATTTTCTGAAAGTAGAGGAAAGTAGCCAGCTCCTGTGAATAAGCTGGCCTGGGCATAGAATGCATCTTTTGGTTTAGGAAGAGTATAAAGAGGACAAACGAAAGGTTTTACTTATGGAGGAAAGAGCCCAGGCTCTGGCGTCAATGGGTCTGAGTTTGAAACCCTGTCCCTTCACTTACCTGTTGTGCAGCCTTGGCGGAGTGACTTCACCTCTCAAACCTGTTTCCTCTGTGAAATGGCAATTAGTCATTCCCACTGCCTGGGATTGTTTTGAGGATGAAACAGAATGACACATATGAAACACCTAGTTCAGTGCTTGACATATAAATGGTGCTCAATAAATGTGGGTGGACAAGGATCATGGTGGTGCTTAATAATATTTGTCCCCTTCATAATAATGCTAAGCATTACTGAGCACGTACCGTGTCCCAGCCTGTTCTAAACTCCCTAACATGCAACCCAAGGAAGTAAGTGTCAACACGCCCATTTGACAGATAAGGGAACAGAAGGAACATTCCCAAGGTCACACAGCTGGCAGGTGGTGAAGTCAAAATTCTAAGCCTGGAGGCCAGGCTCCAACACCATGGGGACAGCTGTGGTATGGAGCCCTCATTGGCTTTTTCATATCTGACTGCTCACGCTTAGAACAATGAAATCTCTTCTTTTAATTAAATATATTGTAAAGTAATACTTCATGAGCCATGTGGCTATTTCCATTTTGTCTGTGTTCCCATTCAGAGTAAGAGTCTGAAATGACTCAAGGTTGTATTTGACTATTGCAAGCTTTCGATGACCATGATTTTGAAAGAGATCCTCCCGAGAACATTGTGTGCTCATTAGTGTGTTGTCTTAAATCCCATCCAGCTCTTCCTATTAATTGAAGGCTTTGATTGTGAGGATTCTATTCTGCAGAGAACCCATAGAACCTTGTGTCCATATAAAAAGTGTAGATTCATTTCCCCCATTTAGTTTTCTCTCAGAAATTTTTCTCTATCATACTGACTCATAAAATTGAAATGGTTTTTAAAGTAATCACTGCAATGTCATCTCTTCTGAACATTGTTGTAGAAGTCATCATGACTACTTAATAGTGCTCTTCCCAGATATTTCCTAAGGCCTGTGGGTATCAGTCAGGTCATAAATATATTTATATTTTAAATGGCCTACTTTGTCAAAGAAGAGTTAGTCTCTTTTTTCCCAATTGTGCTTAAACAAATATGCTTTAAATATTGTGGTTAAACAAATCTAATAATTTTATTTGTTTCACATGTTAACAAATTCCCTTCCCTAAAAATACAGTTAAAAGTATGCCCAAAGTACAAAATGGGCAAAATAAATACCAGGACAATTCTTGAGTTGCAAATTCAACATTGGTTGATAATGATGATGTGATTTATAGCTTTTGAGATATCTATTATTATATAATGTAGCCTTAAAAAATATTCCCTTAAGGATTCTGTCCCTTTGGATCAAGACGATGAAAAATTTGCAAGAGTGAGGGGGACCACTCGCTTGATCGTGCATGATGTGTCCATGGAGGATGCGGGCTATTACAGCTGCACCATGACATTTACCCACGGAGGCCGGCAATACAACATCACTAGGAGTGTTGAGCTACATGTCAGGAGTAAGTACTTGCCATCGAGGTATCTTTCCATCCTAGTTTAATAACAAGCATGCCAAGAACAAATTCAGATCCACACAGAATTCCTTGAAGGTCTTTTAAAGAAGGGTAAAGGGAAACAGATATGTCAACTTTCCTAAAGCATCAGCCTGATAAGACATTTGTGTGACACTTTGAAATGTATAAATTAAGGTATTATTATTAGGAAACATGAATGAATTGCGCAGTTGATAGGGTTCCAAGACCGAAGCTAAAACATACCACTAGAGAAGGCCAAATAGTGGTTTCCTTGGAAGTTCCCTTTGTAAAGTCCACTGTGGAAGGTTTGAATTTATGGGGCCAGCGATCGCAACATGGTTGCTGGAACTTTATGTGTAATTCTAGGATACTAGGATTTTATCGGATTTTTCAACCAGAGGGCTATGCATTGGTGTACTCAGTAGAAAGCATCCTTTTTCTTTTTCTTTTTTGTCATTCCTAAGGTGTGTCTAGTTGCCCTTGATACCAGGATTTCAAATACAGTTCTCATTGATTAAAAGGAATTATACTTGAAAATAATGTTGTGAACATGGTGGCCAGTATTTCACATCTGTTTGGTATTTACGCCACACCTGCTGCATGCCGGACACGGAGCTAGGTGCAAGGGGCGTGAAAGTGTGTAAGTCCTGGTCTCTGCCCTGAAGAGTGTGCCACAACTTTTAATTTTATATACTGAATACCTAACACAGTTGGAGTCTTTTAAGGGGATTTCAGAAAGCTTTGGGAACATATTAAGGCTATATAATCGGTCTGTGAGGGGAAACAACTTTTTTCTCACAGGGAATTCAGAGATTCAGTTTTACCATGTTTTTCCATGTACCGAAGTGTCTAGAGTATATTTCCTTTACAGTCCTGTGAGGATTCATTCATATCGACTTCTTGTTCCCAGACAGGGTGGTTGACTGAGCCATCCTGTGCCTTTGGATGGGCATTATCCTGTTTGTGCGACACTGCACAGGACACTAGGGGGCGGCCACCCTACATATCATCCTTGATGTCATGCTCCGGCGTCTCAGTGGCTCTAAGCTCCAAGCCCATGTAGACCTAACTGGGCATGGGGGCAGGGGCTACGATCTGTATTTCACAAGCCCCCCAGGTGATGCCGGTGCACCCTCAAGTTTGAGAAGCACTGAGTTTCCAGTCCTGGAGGCGTCTCTCTCTCTCTAGAATGCCCCAGCTCCACAGGGCTGCGAGGTGACTCTGAGGGCGGAGAAGGCTTCTGGCCATGGTCAGGAGGCCACTGCTCCTCCGGCTGCACTGTTGTGCTGCCTCACACTCATGCATGGTAGGATTTCAACATGTTTTTAGCGGAAGAAGTGAGGACGATGAGGCTAGTTGCGTACTTCGGACAATTATGTACCCTTAATATGTTCCCAAAGCTCTCTGAAATCACCTTAAAAGACTCCACTTGTGTTAGGTATTCAGTGTATAAAATAGTCCTGCACACACCCCAGGCATCCTTTTTTGCCTCACTTCAGGTACCCAGTTTTTTCAAACTGGTTCTAATCCCTTGAATACCTCCCTCTACCTCCCGACGAATTTCTCTCTTCAATTAACAAGACAGTAGTGGCCAAGGCTGGGTTACTGTGTTTATCACCCATCGTGGGATTAGCCTTACACATGAGTGGTGCTTGGGCCCCTGTGCTTTTTCTTGAAGAAGTGAATCTTCAGTGTCTTGGGGCAGGACTTGGGAGAGGTGGAGGAGATACTTTAGACCTTCGGGTAAAGCCTATCCTATGGACAAAACATGACTATTAAGATTCTGTTCAGGAAGCCTGGGAGGGGAATGGTTAATTGTTTATCACAGAGCAAAGAGCAGAGACTGTCAGTGGAATGTGTGTTTAACTGTGGCCTCTTTCCAGTAATCTCTCTGCTGGGAAAGGTTGGCCAAAGATGCTCAATTTTGTGGGGAGCCTGTTTCCTTTGCCAGGCAAAGGCTGATTCTCACAATGACTGGCCCAGCTGGAAAGGATAACTTAGCTAATTAGCCAAACAATGGAACTTGAACCTCAGCTGTAAATGAAGGCTTTCCTAATGCAATCTCTTTTCCTTACATCTTTCCCAGAAAGAAAAGAGGAGACCATTCCTGTGATTATTTCTCCTCTCAAGACCATATCAGCTTCTCTGGGTAAGGCCTGCAAACACTGTGCAACCCACACGCCTGCGGGGGTGCCTGACATCCCGACCCCGGGGGCTCGGGACTCCTGCCTGGCAGCTGTACCTGGCCCTTGTGGTGCAGTGTGCCTGGGTGGAGGCCTTAGAATCACAGTGTGTGAGGCTGGAAGAACAAATGCGAGGGAACGTGTCCCTTTGTCCGGTGTTGTTAGAAACAGCATTGTTTGAAAACAGGTATACTTTGCTGTGTAAAAACCCTACCTACCAAAATCTAAATGTGAAAATCTGAACATTTTGGTGGTAGTTATTAACTGTATGAGAGGATTAACAACAGCAGGAATCCCTTCCATAGTCAGCACCTTTAGTATATTTAAGATAATTCACTTGTCTGAATCTCAGCATCTCTCTAAGACTCCATTTGTGAAGGGGGGCTGGCTGGCAGTGGTCAGAGGCAGTTTCTTGTTGCCAGAATAGCTGGTCAGTTGAATGGTGTGGTGCAAATGACCAGCGGGGTTCTCCACTCTTCACCCCATGTGGTGCAGCCCATCCCAGCCAGCACACACCTGCTGGAGGGTCCACACTTGTGGCCAGTGAAGGCATGGATGAGGGCTGTGATAATAGCCTTTGATGTTAGCTGTGTGTGTGGGGGGGGGCAGGGGATCAACATTTATTGAGCATCTGCTCTGTCCAATTCAGTTCCAGCATTGACCCTGTGGGAAGGTTTTATTTCTCCCATTTCCAGAAGGAAAAGCCACCTAGGGGGTCATGGTGGCTCGACAAAGTCTAAAAAGCCACTCTCAGGGGCAGGCTGGGCTCAGACTCCAGTCTGTGTGCCAGTGAAGCCTGCACCCTTTTATGTGTTTGTTTCTATATAATGGTTTTGAAGGTTTTATACTCATTTATAAAATCCTGGCCGCAGAGTCTTTTTATTAATAAAAAAAATTATTTGCCTTTTACTTCTGTTTGGTGTTGGGTTTAAATTTTAGTTGGAGGCCATAGAGGAGGTGGGCTTTTGTGCAGATGCTGGGACTGCTGGCTGGCACGTGAGTTGCAGCCCACATGGCTGCCTTGGCTCTAGGAACAGCCACCTGGAAACCCCGGGCAGTGGGGACACTGGCTGTGCTGGTGCTGACTGCGGTCCCAGTGCCCTGGTCCTCGGTGCTTCCCAGCTGAGTGGAGCCCAGTCCCCAGTCAGTTGCTCTGGATGCACTACGTGGGTGGTGGTGTCACATGACACTGATTTCATGGGCTGCTACAGCTGAGGGGGACTCTTTGAGGTCATAAGGGTGGCATGAGATGGGGAAAGGCTGGCATTCTAAGCCCTAGTGGGGCCAGGGACATTGAAAGACATCCCACAAGGAGGCATATCACCCATGAGGAAGAAATGAGTGGGAAGGATTTCTTCTATTTTTCTCTCTCTTCCTCTTTGGTGACTTAAAAAGAAAAATAACTTCCCACGACTGAGTCGAGAGGCTCTAGTACCATCACATCATGGAACAGCAGAGCCATCTATAGGAAATACAGGACTTCTTACAGGGTTAATCCTCAGTGAGCGCCATCTGGGAATGAAGAGTTCCCAGGGTAAATGTCAGAGCTGAGACCAGCAATGGGCAAAGAGAAAAATCTGCATATTGCTCTGGATTTTTTGAGGTAACTAAAGTTGTGGAGGAAGCAGCCCTTGAGTTCCGAGTGCCCTGTAGGAGCTGAATGGCCTTGGAGAAGCCATTCGATTTCATGTGTCTCCTGGTTGTAGCCTGCCATGAAGACCAGTTGAAGGAACTGGAGGTACTTGGTAAATGCTAAAGCTCTGTGTGAACAGAATCGTTGGAGAAAACTCAATTTCCTTCTAAGAAAAGAATTGGCCAGTGAGAGTGTTTGAGAAGACGGGGAGGGGTCCGCTGTTCAGGTTTGCTGGTGGATGTGAGATGCGGGGTTCTGAGGGTTGACGTGCTGTGTCTTGCCATACACAGGGTCAAGACTGGTAATCCCGTGCAAGGTGTTTCTGGGAGCCAGCACACCCTTAACCACGATGCTATGGTGGAAGGCCAACGACACCCTCATAGACAGCGCCTACCAGGGAGGCCGTGTGACCGAGGGGCCACGCCAGTAAGTGGGCCAGTGTTTTCTCTTGTGAGACTTTTGTAGGCTTCACTCTTTCTTTTGAAGACAATGTCATATCCAACTTATCCATATGACACACAGATCACATGAAAAGTAACTTTTGTTTTTATTCTAAGCTGTTGGCTTTTTAGAATTTTAAAAATTGAGTTTTGCTAACAATTATCTTAAGAATCAAACTTTCTCTATGAGTTGACCAGTTGGTAGTGATGTTGCATTTGGTAGGTTTTTAAACATCTATTTCTTGAGTTTTGCAGGATTTTAAAAAATATTTTGGAGTTATTATAATAAATTTCCATTCCCCACTCTGTAACCTGACTGTTAAATGTTTTTATAAACCCTTAAAGAGACTCTGAGGCCTGGCTGCAGTGTCTGTAGGCACCTCTTCTGTTTCTCAGGGCTGCCACAGTCTCTAAGGAAGGTTAGTAACAAAAGACAGAAAGAATTCAGTTCTCATAAGCAGTCATTTCTAGAAAATGTTTTCTTACTCTGAAACTAGAACAATCAAACCTTGTAAATGGGAACATTCAACATTTCAAATTATAAAGTATTTTTTAAATTACAGTTTTGATACCTGAATTAACCTGAACTTTTGCTTGCCAAATTTCTGTGTTCTTTGGAAAGACTTGTCAAAAGGTCTTTCTGGGTATAATTTAGTGGATAAAAATGATGTGTGGTTAGCATAATCGTGTTCTTGCAAGCCCTTGTTGCGAAAGACTTGGCTGTAACTAAATGCCCTATGTCAGCTTACTCATACTATCCATTTACTTAAAGGAGCCTATTTTTCCCCTGTAAATAAAACAAAAATAGTCCTAGTGGATCCACTCAATGATGTTTTTGTTCATACTAATAGGTAGTAGAGAAGTGGCTTTTGCTTCCTCTAAGATTATACATGGTAGCTATTCTGGCTAGAGTGCCTCTCCTGCCCTCTGATCTGGACTTTAGTTTGCAGAGTGAGTCAGCGGTAGGGACGAGGAGAAGGGAGACAACTGGGGGCTGGAGTCCTGGAAACTCCCTGCCCTTCAATATGTGAATGATTTATTGGTGAAAGAGTCAAGTTTCCCCAAATTAGATGTTTCTGTTCTCACTACTACTTCTTTGTTCATCAAGGGTCTGAAAAAACAAACTTTTCCATTATCCAAACCCAACTGGCTCCTGTAAGTTCTCATTGTAACAAGCGTCCTATTGCAGTGACCGACGTCTTCAGCAACACTTTAGTCCTCAGGAACAGGCCTATGGACTGTCCCAAATAAGTAACAAGCGTGGTGGCAAGTATGGCTCCTAACTTTATGAAACCTGAAATCGATTTAAGCACAGTGGATGCTTCTAACTGAGAAAGTTTGCGTGTCTGTGTTGTAAAAGACAAGCTTGCATTTGACACATCACATTTACGTGAATGTTTTCTAATTCAGGGAATATTCTGAAAACAATGAGAACTACATTGAAGTGCCACTGATTTTTGATCCAGTCATAAGAGAAGATTTGAACACGGATTTTAAATGTGTTGTCCTTAATAGCTGGAGTTCTCAGACACTACGCACCACAGTCAAAGAAGGTATGTATTTGTGAGAAGCCAAAAGGGGAAAACAAGAAGTTGAATGTTCCATAGATACTAGACAGAGCTACTTGTTCTCCACATGATTCCTTAGGAAGTCCTTTGTGCTGCTTGTTGGTGGAGTGTTGAAAGAAAATCCCCCATTTTTTAAGATTTTTTTTTTTTTGGTAGGGTGGAGGGGGGACTTTGGGAGATTACACTGAAATGAAAAATTAAAGTAGCTAGCTGATTTTTGGAAAACAGATAAAATGGTTCTACAATAAACTTTTAAATATCCCTTGGGTCACCAGGATCAGCTGCCCTTGCATGGCCTCTAGAGGAGGGCGGATTGTTCTTTATCCTGAAGTTGAGAAACTTCATCCTCCAAGAGCTGGGTCTGGGAGATACCCAGGGTTCAAGACGGCTTTAAGGTCAAAGTTGCTAGACAATAGGAAATAAGTACAAGACGATAGTCAAACCAACCTAGTGCCTCTTTAAGGACATTTATAAAAGAAGAAAAGAAAAACCCATGTTGTCATTTTTGACCAAATTGATTTCATCTCAATATTTAATTGTGGAGCAGAAAGGGAGGCGCAGTTCACGTAGTCTCTGTTGACAGCCTGAGAAAATCACGGCAGGCAAACCACAGCAGTTCCCGGCTGGAGTCTCAGCAATGCCTCTGGGCGGTCTTGCAGCAATCCAGTAAACACAAAGTGCTCCACATCACCATATTTCACTGGGGAGGCCGCCGCAGACATACTGTAGATTGGAAAGCTGGTGACTGGGTCAAGCCTTGGAGCAGGAACCGACACCCAGCACCACTTTTCTCCAGCTGTGCTCTGAGTGACCCCAGCATCACACTCACCTGAGCCACTAGTTATAAATAGAAATCCCTGGACTCACCCCAGATCCACCCAGTCAACTTCTCCTGGAGAGGCCAAAGGCTGCAGCTTACAAAGCTCCTTTCATTTTGTAGTTTGAGAACTGGGGCATATATGCAAAGGGCAGTGTTTCAGACCATTTCCAGATGTGCAGGCTGGGAGAGGGACTGTGGCCGTACACATTTGGAAATAGGGGATCCCACAACAAGCAGAATCCACCCTCTGGGAGTCAGATTAGTGAGCCAAAGGAACCTGTGGTTTGTCTGGTCCTGATGCTGTAAACCTTTAAAATTTTCCAAAGCATGAGCCCTGTCCCTGCATGTCCTTCGCTGGGCTGGCCACGACTGATCCCAGAGAACACAGGCTGGAAGGCTTTTGCAGGACTGAGGGGCGGATTCCGTGGTTGCTCAGAAAATTACAGCTTCACTTATTTCTAATCCTTGTGGATTTTAAGGTGTAAGAATCCTCTGGAGAAATAGGCTGAGAGTGTGTTGATTCTTGGATGACCAAACAGACTACAGCAAACAATAGCTTAAACATGTAGATTTCTGGCCTCATTGACAACATGTCTAATAACACTCTGTTCTCAGATTTACTTTTTAACTTTCTATTCATAGTCTCTTCCTCTATTTCCATAACACAGAGATACCAAGGGACAGAATATAAAATAGCTGGATCCAAGCAATAATCTTGGCACCTAAAGCTCCTTTATTCAAAGTTTGTGTTCTTTTCCTTTGCTACTTTATTTAATCCTCATGATAGCTATGCTTATTGGAAAAGGGCAGATTGTTCCCTGGCCATGTCACAGTTGGTTAATTCAGACGTAAACAGGCAGCATATTAAACGCACATTGTCCTGCTGGCAGAACAAAGTTAGATCCTTGGCACCTGCCCCCTTACTCTGTGATGTTTCTTCCTAACAGTTTTGTCCTACCTTGCTTGTTTCTCTAATGCCGCAGATGTCTTTCTCAAATATCCTTGATCTTGGTGTAAGGGGTGTACTTCCTGGAAATCAGTGCCCATTTATCAAGAAAAACAAACTCCAACTCCTTTCTTCTCTGTACACCTGTGCTACTCTGTCCTATTTTGCACTGAGAGAATGTTCAACCCCTGACCTTCCTCTGTTCTTCCCACAGCCGCCTCCACGTTCTCCTGGGGGATTGCGCTGGCTCCCCTTTCGCTGGTCTTCTTGGTTTTGGGGGGGATATGTATGCACAGACGATGCAGACACAGAACTGGAAAAGCACATGGTCTGACCACGCTGAAGACTGGCCTTCAAGACTTCCAATCCTATCCCAAGTAAAATAAACAGAATGAAATATTCAAACACAAATTACGTATGTCCTTTCTTATGGAGGTGGCTGTGCCTTTTTGAGAGACTCTGCTCTTTTCCTCAGTTGTTTAGCAAAGCTGCTGTGTTTGTGGTGGGTTTGCAGTGAAGGACTGAAGTTCTGTTTTTTTCTGAAAATCAATGACAGGAGTGAATGTGCCTATGAGTGGGTGTGAGTAGCTCTCTGCTACTTGTGACCTATTTAATGGAATGAGGTGTCCTTAGGCCTGAATAAGAGTGGAAAACATTTACATAAGTTTTGAAATTCATTCATTCATTCATTCAACAAAAAAGCATTAAAAGTCTATTTTGGCCTGGCTTTATGGGAGGCGTTGTGGATACAGAGATGGTTAAGACACAGTTTGCCTTTCTGGAAAATGGAATTTCATGTTGAGACTGGAGAGGGTGATTTAGAAATGGTAAAGTGGAAGAATCAGCAGGGATCGGCGAACTTTTTGGAGAGGGCAATGCACAAAATAGCAATTAAAGCAGAGTGGGCTGTCAGAGAAATACACATGTTGAAACTTATTAGTGAACTGAGAAATAGCCCCAACTTTGTAACACTTCTGAAAATAAAGAGAAGGAAGAGCATTGAGATAATGGTATATAAATTGGAAAAATATCACCAGGGCCTTTTTTGTATCATACAAAAAAAAAAAATCCAGATAGATAAATGGGCTTAATTAAAAAAAATCAAATGGCAGGAAAATCATCATGTCTCACTCCTTCGCCTATTCAGGTCTCTGGTCAAATGTGACCTTCCCAGAGGCCTTTCTCAAATAGCGCCTCCTTCCATCCCTTCCGTGCCTTCACCCTTTTTGTGTCTTCAGATCTCTTATCACCACCAGACCCTCCATTATATATTTGCTTGTTTGTTTTCTATCTGTGTCCTCCCTGAATGGAACATCTGTGACGGCAGAGAGATTATGTTCATCCCCACTGTATCTCCAGTACTGCAGATCAGGCATTTAATAGACGTTTATAGAATAGATGAAAGAGTAGCATGAACTCCCCCCTGTTCACTACCAACAGAAGAATTGCCAGAGTAAATATGGACAGTCTTAATTATATTATAATTTCAGCACAATAAAATAATAAAAGCAAGATTTAAAAGAAATTGTGTCAAACAAGTTCAAGGAATTAATAACGATAACAAATAGAGTTGTTCAAAGTTTAAGAAAGACATCTTCTATAGCCAAATATTTTAAATTGGGTAGCTCGTAAACAACAGAAATTTATTTCTCACTGTTCTATAGGCTGAGAAGTCCAAGATCCAGGTGCTGGCAGATTTGGTGTCCAGTGAGGGCCCACTTCCTTGTTCATAGATGGCTGCCCTCATGACTTAATCACCTCTGAAAGGCACCACCTCCTAATACCATTATATTGGGGGTTTGAGTTTCAACATATGAATTTTTGGAAGACACAAGCATTTAGTCTATAGCAGCATCATCACCCTAATAGATGGAAGAACATGAGTAGGGAATTTGCAGAAGAGACACACATAAAGAAACACATGGAAAAATGATAGTTTCAGTAATAACCAGAGATATAAATTAAAGCAACTTTGGGCTACCAATATACACTCACAGACTATTGAGTGTTAAGAAGTGAGATGAAAGTCGTTACAAAACAGTCACTCTTGCACCCTGTAATTCCATTTATAATTTGGTGCTGGAAAGTAAAAAGGCAAAATGAACCAAGCCAGTGGGGCACTGGGTTCCCAGCTTGCACATTCTGGCAAGAGCCAAGTGTGTGCATTTCTCCCCAACTCTGTCAGTGGTGTCATGTTGGCAACTTAAAATCGGCCCTTATGGGAATATTTACACCATAGAAATTGGCAATCGCCACAAATCATCACTCTCCTCCCCAACACGTGACAAGGTCAGAGAGATGCTCATTGATGCTACTCTTAGAAATTTATCTTAGGAAATAATTCAATAAAAGAAAATCATTACATATATGCAATAATTTAGTGAAACTTATTACCCTGATGATGAAAAATTATGCATCAATTACCAATTATAATGATCAAGATTGTAAGACTTACATATTTGCAATGCTAAGGGAAAATTATAAATCGTTTTGTACAATTTTTATGGCTACAACATTATTAACATTTGTTTGCATCTAGACAAGGAGAAAAATTAAAAACAAGGACTTTGAAGACAGATTTTCTGGATTTAAGTTCAAGCACTGCCACGTGGTATCTCTGTGATCTTGAGCAAGTCCTTTAATCTCATAGTACATCAAGTTTCTCATCTGAAAAGTGGGGATAATAACATTAACTTTTAACTATTTAGCTATATTTTATATTTCCATTTTACTCTATTTTCTATTTCACCTATAGTAACTACTTAATAACCAAAAACATAGGAGGAATAGACCAAAATAAAACTGGTTGTATTTAGGCCAAGCATGACAACCTACAGCATGTGGGCTAAATGCAGTCTGCCCCTTGCTTCTGCAGACAGTTTGTTACTACGCAGTCCCGTCTGTTTGTTTACAGACTGTCCTTGGTTGCTTTTGCTCTTTGAAGACAGAATTGAGTAGTTGAGACAGCAAAGCCTAAAATATTTACTATCCAGTGCTTTACACAAAAGGTTTCCCAACCCGTGGCTTAGATGAAGATTTGGGTCAGTTTTTGACCCTCACTTTTATATTTTCCTATTCTTATCTCTTCTGCTCTTCTGTTTTGTAAGCATCCAAGGAGGGAGAAGAAATAAAAAGGGCAGGCGGAGGCCCATGAGCACCTAGTCAGGATTTGCCCCATGAAAGGAGAGGAGACGAGGTTTGAGACGGCGGGATTAGGTGAGGATGCCGCACACTGCAGCTCTGGGCGCTTCTGCCTTTTCTTGGTCTTCAGGCTTGGGAGCCGTGCGGCTTTCCTCCTCGGGCTTCTCCCGGGGCTTCGCCCGTGCTCTTTGGAGCTCCCCACCTTCGGATTCTCGCGGCCTCAGCAATGACCCAGAAAAAACGCTGACTGCAGCCAGAAGAGAACCACCAACGGCTTTTTAGACTCCACCTTGACTGCACAGGTTACGCATTTCCTCCCCTCCACGATTTCAGAAGTGTGGGTCATGCTGTACGAGGTGACTGGGAAATTCTGAGTGCCGGATTTAGGCTAATATTAAGGAATAAGCTTGATATTGGGATTGCTACATTTTTAAGAAAGAGTCATTATCTTTCTAAGAGACATGCTAAATTATTTATGGGTGATATCTGAGATTTGCTTCAAATTACCCAGTGCTGGGTGGGAGAACATCAAATAAGATCAGCCATATGTGGATAACTGTTGATGCTGGTGATGGCTGCACTGGGTTTCCTGTAGTATTCTCTCCACGCTGGCGCATGATTGAAAATGTCCGTAATAAAGAGTGAAATACAATGCGGAAACCACCGAAATACCCACTAGACCAGAGAGTGGGTGAATAAACTGCAGTGAAATAGCACAGTGGATCTTATAAGTGGTAAAAGAAACTACTACAATAAGTAAATAGTATGCAACAGTATGGATAAATCTTAGAAATATGTTATTGAGTAAATAAGTCCTGGAAACATTTTATAGCATGATGCCCTTGTATATAAAATAAAAAACAACAAAACTAAACATGCTCTCTCTCTTGCATATGAGCATGTATATACATACACATCTATAGTTAACATACAGTTTTGCGTATATGTGCTCTTAAATATAAATGTGTGTGTATGTGTGGACGGTGATTATGTCAGGTGGCAGGTGGGGGACAAGGGTTGGGATAGGTTAGGAGGATGTAAGTTTCATTAAGTTCTAGATCTCACGTTGGGTGGAAGATTATTATTGTCTAATTAGTTATCAAGCAAACAGTTTAAGAAACAGGTTATTCGAGGACTGATGAAGAATATGTATCTTGAACCAAGGATTGTGACTAACCCGATTCTGTGTGCCTCAATCCAAATTACACACATGCACAAACAAATGAAACAAGGTGGTTTCTTTTCTTAATTTGGCTGATCTTATCTATCTTATGTTGATTTCATTGTTTTAACGTTCTGAAGGTGAATTTTTTCTTGCCCCGCCCTACAAAATCTGGGGGGAGAGGGTGATAAATAGTCTTTGGAAACCTTGCACTTCTATGCACTGCCCGTAGGAAAAACACAAGCCTTACATGATGAAATGCCACTTCCCCAAGAACTTACTGAGGACGACAGGAGACAGCAATAATAGGCACCAAAAATAATGCAGGCACTAAAAAATAAATTTGACGTCGCAAATATTTTAAGTGCTTATGGGACTACCTAGGGGCTCTTCTAAAGACGGGACGTACGCTTCCTGTAAGTTCCTAGGGTAGGAGCATTCTTGCTGACTGATGTATTCCCACCACCTAGCGCAACAGACACAGCATTTAGGTGTCTGCTGAACACACAGATAAAGCGTGTGTTTCTTGGGTTTTCCCAAGTTGACGTGAGCAAGTGGATGCCATCAGTGGGACTCAGCTGTTTCCCTGCTCCTGGCTCTACTCGCGAACTCCCCTTGGTTTTGGCCATGACCTCCTGCCCATAGCTTACTTGGACACACAAGAGTGCCTCATGTTTTTGTGGTCATTTTCCTGTTCTTGTGATCCTCACTCGTTGGCTTCTGTGGTTCATGCCAACCTTCAGGGCTACTCATCACTGCCGTTATGCTCCAAGAAAGCACTGTCACTCTACAGAGGGCACTGCCTGGGGCTGTCCAGTGGACAAGCCATCCAGCTGCCACCCTGGGCTGCAGCCTCTGCCAGCTTTGGTGCCTAGAGCCTCCCTGTGCATCCCCAGAAGCTCCTGCTCCTGTGGCCCCTGTGGCCAGCCAGACCCCAAAGCATTGGTGGAGGACATAACCCCTCCCCCTCAGGGCTCCCGCACTAGTGTCTCCCCCCATCTCTGGCACGCTTGCAAAACCCACTTCCTCATTCTTCTTCAGGCAAAGCAGAGCAAAACAAAGCCTCCTGCAGAGAAACTCCCAGAACCTGCTGCCTGCTGGCTCTTCA